ATCTTTATATGATTCAGATATATATGTTTTCTTAACATGATCGTTAGTACGGCAATTGCCCTTCTTCGTTCCCATACACCTGGTGGTATTCATTCCCAAGATAATGTTCGATCTGGAAGAGGTATGCACACGCATGAAAATCTGAATATTGCGCACGTCCGCATGTGTGTTTGTTATTAGGATTATTTGCTCTTTTATTTTCAAGCTCACCAGGTTCAAGTTACTCTATAACCGAACACAACTGCACATTTTGCTCACGCTGTTTTTTTTTTAACGTGTCAACGTTGTCAGATCGTGTTCTCTCGTTCCTATTTCACATCACATAAGCGAACGGCGGTTACTGTGTCATATTTAAGTTTTTGCTGTGATGTGTCTCACTACTGCATACAACTTGAGATTTTCGAAATCTTGTCCTGAACTACGAGCGGACACCTACGGTTGTGCAAGTGGACTCCCGTGTATACTATTCGGCCCGGAGGGCTCGTAAGTTAAGGAGATTGTACTCGCGTAAGTTATCACATAAGCGTGAATATCTGGCTGTATTTTTTTCATTAAGTATATTCATTATCACTATTTTGATTCAGGTGTGGTGGATGCCCCAACGCCTACTGTAAGGAGTGTGGTCAAAAAGAAAACCTGACCAAGCTTCCCGAACAACCGCCTAAACTTGTCAAACAATATGGCTATAGTTTCTGCACCACAGCTGAGTACTGTCTGTGCTCAGAGGAATGCATGGTCGCGTCAGAGCAGACCGATAAGTTGTTCTTAACTTCGGATACTGCGGCTGAAACGGAGTGAAGCAGGTAGTCATTCACTTACAGTACCTTCACCAACTTAGCTACTTGTTCCAGTCTCTTTCTCAAAAGCTGAAATTGATGGGCGACACGGTATGATCTGGATGCGATCGCCCGCGCGAACAATCTGCAACACGTGCTCGACCAATTTTTGCGAAACATTTCTCGCTGCCTTTTACGAGTATGTGCGGAGTAGAATGCCCAACGAATTGTAAACTTCCATTTGTGGCCCGCTAATGTACTGTGTCCGGGATTGCCGCCAATGTTGCTAAGTTATCACCAAATTTCGCAGCCCTTTCGTACCTATCCTTATATTAGGACATCTAGGCACAACCGCATCTCGAGACAATGGGTGACATTTTGAGAAATATGCTTTTGGTATTGATTGGCATTATATTCTGGTCGCTTTTCCGCGACATAAGAAAGTATTTACTAAACACAAAAATGCAATTAAGTATTTTTTCATTAAAATATTATTCTTGTTCATACACACTTATGATTATAAGCACACTCTGCTTCGCATCTGCGCGAACAATTTGGTATGTGGAAAACACAAATACGAAATTTAAACACAAGGGTGCGACAATGAATTCCTTCATTAAAATAATATTTATGTTGCTACACAGCATATGATTCCAAGCGCACTCTGCTTAGTATTTGCGCAAACAATTTGATATGTGGAAAACACAAATACGACATTGAGTGATTGGGCATGTCATGTTTACGCCAATAATTCTCATAAACCGGCCGCAAAGCTTGAGATGGCACAAATCGCCCTTTTCCCTATGCATTCCAGCAGTGATAATCCAGTACTTAATTATTTTATACAAGTGGTATCTATGCCTTTGTCGCACTGGCCTTGCCGCTCTTTCTCACTCGCCTCTCCGCGCCCTCCTTGCCCATCTTCTTCTCTCTGTGCTTTTCACCCTTTGTCTTGACTCCCTTCTCTTTGCGCTTCTCATCGGTCCACTTGGGCTTCTTGGCTTTCTTCTCCTCTTTGGTTGTCTTGGCCTTTTTATGCGCCTTTTCTTCCTTTGTTTCTCTCTCCCGCTTGACGCCCCTTTCGGGTTTGGCGGGTTTCTCAAATACAGTTCGATCCGGTCTCGACAAAGCTCTACTAATTGTACCCTCCTTCGCATCTCTTTCCTCCAATTTTTTCTTATCCCATCTTACTTTCTTCTTCTTACCTGTTTTGTGTGGCGAAATAATAGGAATGTGATCAGATTGTGTTTGAATTAGAAGACCTCAATCATTTACTAGACCCATCTATCACTCGTTTGGGTACATGAATAACAGCACGCTCAAGCCACAAAATCTGAGCATCAGCACATATCGCAAAGACCAAACTTGAACCGTGAATCGCAAAGAACATAATCCTAAGTCATGCTCGCTTGTGTATGTGTTCAAATACACGACATACCCATGTAAGTGGCGCATTAGCTTACATAGCATTTGTTTACATACCGGCCTTGTCATCGCCTCCCTTTCGTTTCCTGTCTTGCGCTTGAGCTCCCTGGAAATCATTCGTCTTGCTATCTTTGGCCTTGGTTTGTGAGTCGCGTGACATGGCCTTCTGGACCCGGATGGTCTTACCGCCAATCTCGGAGGCAGTCAATCGCAGTGCTAAACTGACAGATTCTTCTTTCTGTGGTGTTCAAAACAGTAAACTCAGCGAAACAGCCTTAAAATCCCACATGTGAGCATGCTACTTCCACCTCTACATACGAGATTAAAAGGAAAATCGAACACGCCACGAAACATCAAGAAGGCCGCTATCGCGTATATCCGTTAAAACCTAAAGTATAAGCATTCATGTACATTAACGACGAACGTATGTAGTTTAAATCCACTGTTAGATCTTAACGATCCTCTTCGCCTCGTTGATGACATTATACAACAATCCATATCTCACGTGCTATACTCCCATGTATATACACAATTTTGTACTGCATTAATATGCAAGTTCAAATTTTCCATACTACGCTACCGTGCACATGCACATTATATGCTTCGGAGCAAGTGCGAGTCCCAAACGTACTACATACCTCGAATTTAACGTAGGCGATACCCTTGCCAATCCCGGTCACCTTGTCTCGTACACACCGCACGCTCTCGACGCTTCCGCACTGGGCGAACGCTTGGTACAGCATCTCGTCCTCAACATTCGGTGGCAGTCCTCCGACGAACACAGTGGACTTGGTATCCTGCACCCTGTTCTCATTGCCACCTGCTCTGTCTACGCGCAAGTGGTAGCCTCCGAACATCGCACCTTTGGCATTCTCTAAACAAGCCTCACAGCCCTCCTTTGTTTTGTACACAATATACGCGTTCATACTCGTGCGCTCTGCGTGGGTCTGATGGGTGACGAACGCAATCATCTTGGACATCTTAGGCTTGGCGACGGCTACTGACCGGAAACGCACACTCTCGATGGCGCCAAACTGTCCAAATAGCAACACATGATATTGCAGTAAGATTCCGGATATTTCTGATAGATATACTTGTTCAACAACACGAAAGCTGCTTTAAACACATATTTGTAAACCGGCTTTGTTGTAAACTTGATTTAGCTTTTTGACACACACGTCGTAAGTGGAACTGGGGTTGACAAACTTATCCGTCAATAGCTCTACCATTGTTATATCTTGAGAACTTTAAAATATACGAACAACTCTTTGTAAAAGATGTACAGGCGCTGAGAACTTTAAGATTGCAAACAGTCCCTACAATGACATTCTGAACGATTGAGGTTGTCTACATACTCTTCTCTCTTGAATTTGTCGTGATAGACAGTAAATTTATGATCCGAAAATATCTAGAGCGTATACTTGGTTTGCCTTCTCAGCATACTAAAACCTACGAACAAGAACATACTTACCTCTTTAAATTGGGCTTTGAAAGCACCATGATTGCATTTTATGGGTACATTGCCAACAAATACGGTACGCATACTACGTTCGCGGTCGGAATTACGCTGCTGTGTCTTTGTGAGCAGCTTTGTATTTTTCTTTTCCTCTGCAGTAAGGATGGTAAATAAAGAATCAGTTTTTTATACCCAGATAGTAGCACATGTGAATATATATATACATATATATATAAATATATAATACTATTGTATATGCGTGTGCGAGTGCGTGTGTGTAAGTAGATATATATATATGTGTGTGTGTGTGTGTGTGTGTGTATGTGTGTGTGTGTGTGTAGTAAATTTATCAATATATAAATGTGTGTGTGTATACATATATATATATATATATATATATATATATTGATAAATTGATTTATTA